CGAGGGTCCTGCATCCGATGCAGGGATGGGGCCAGGATCATCTGAGAGTGGGGTGCTGCCCTTTGGAGCTTTTGGAGTCTGGCAGCAGTGAAGCAGAGGACCCCGGAGAGCCTGTTCCCAGTGCGTGTGTGCGCAGAGCTACTAGGAGGCAAGAGCAGCTGAAGCAGAAGAGGCGACTTGGGAGTAAGGCTGGGTGGTGATTGCCCCTCCCATAAGGGATAAAAGTCAGTCCTCGATGAAGAGCTTTGCAAGAAGCAAAGCTGTTCAGTAATTTCTGAATCCGTCTTTGTTAGGAATGTAAGTCACCTAACAGATATTTGGGTTGGAAATATATAAACCAGGATAGACATTTTAATACTGTATCTTTAAGAAAATGCAAAAAATTGTAATTGGGTGTGGTTTCTCAAACAGCCATAAGATGGAGCCAGAAACCTGGGTTGTTTAGTTTTAGTCTTAGTCTCAGAAGAGAGTGTGTCTCAGTGAGTCTCTGTTTCCTTCTGTTGGAGAGTTTTCCCGTTCTTCCTAATTGACTGATATTCTTGGATTTGATGTAAGTCTGATACTGAACTGTTTTTGACACTGGACTTTCTTATTGGATTATCCCTGGATTGAAAACTGACTGATTTACCTGTGAATGACTTTGGACTGTGTTTGAAGTTTGCTCAAAAGTTTCTGGATGTAAAAACCTACATTTACTGTACAGTGTATCTGTGTGCTGTGTGTGTATTATTCAAACACTACTCTCAATAGGTCTCCCTGTATGCGCTCATTCTCCTAACAGGGAATTACCTCAACAGTCTTGAAGCTCTGTACTCTGGCCCATCGTTTGAAGGAACTGAAACAGGGCCAGCAACCCCTGCAGGAATATGTGAGTGAGTTCCAGCTGATTAGCCAGAATTTGGCCTGGAATGAGGCTACCCTTAAATAGAATGTTCCAGGATGGGTTGTCGGAGGAGTTGTAAGACAAGCTGGTTCGGGTGGATACAAATGTGGGCCGTTTGTACTCAATGTTGGATCTGGAGTTGCCCGCATTGCAGGACTTTTTGGATAAGAACTTTGTTCAGGGTTTTATCCGGCCCTCATCATCACCACTGTCTGCCCCAGTCCTGTTTGTGAAAAAGAAGACTGGTGACTTGAGGCTTTGTTGTGATTACCGTAGATTAAATGCCATCACGGTGTGCAATCGGTATCCTCTGCCCATGATTCCTGAACTGATGAAGCGGCTCCTGGAGGCTACTGTGTTCACCAAGTTGGACCTGTGTGGGACGTATAATTTGGTATGGATACGGCCCGGAGATAAGTGGAAGACGGCATTCAGTACCAGGTACGGGCATTTTGAATACATGGTCATGCCGTTTGGGTTGACCAATGCTCCTGCTGTCTTCCAACATTTTATGAATGACATTTTCCGGGACCTCTTAGATCAATTTGTCATGGTTTACCTCGATGACATTTTGATCTATTACAACTCAAGGGAGAGTCACCTGCACCACCTGCTCCTGGTTCTTCAGTGGCTCCGGAAGAGCCGCTTGTTCACCAAGTTGGAGAAGTGCCAGTTCTTCCTGTCCACCATCAAGTTCCTGGGGCATTGCATCTCTTCTGATGGCATTTCGATGGAGCCGAGCAAGGTCGAGTTGCTGCTCAATTGGCAACCTCCCAGGCGAATGAAGGATGTCCAGCGACTCCTCAGATTTGCCAACTATTATCGGACCTTCATCCCCGACTTCGCTTCCCTGACCAGGCCCCTTGGCTCCTCCAGAAAAAGGTCCCATTCCGGTGGAGTGCTCCTGAGCAACAGGTGTTCCAGGCCTTGAAGCAGGCCTTCATGAAAATGCCTATCCTGAAACACGCCAATCCACACTGTCCATTCGTGGTGGAAGTGGATGCATCCGATGTGGTCGGAGCGATGCTACTCCAGGCTCACGCATCCGGCGGTACCCTCTTCCCTTACGCGTATTATTCAAAGAAGCTCAATTCTTCTGAGAGCAATTATACCATCTGGGAGAAGGAGCTACTAGCCATTAAGGCAGTGTTAGAGGCCTGGAGGCATCATTTAGAGGGGGCACGATATCAAGTTAAAGTCCGGACGGATCACAAAAACTTGGAATTTTTGAAGACCGCCCAGAAACTGAATCAATGCTAGATTCGGTGGTCCCTCTTCTTTGCCCAGTTTAATTTCTGTGTCACTTATATCCCGAGTGGTCGCAACCAAAGGGCAGATGCCCAAGTACTTGTTTCCTGAGGCCCAACTCCCACTCCGGACAGTTCTGCCCATAGAGTCTTTCTCTGCAGTTCAGGACCCAGTGGACCTATGGGCTGAGATACAAGAGGCGCAGTGGCACAATGCTTGGATGGATCAATGGAAGCAAGAGGTGAGACCCAATTTTCCATGGTCGTTCACTGAAGAACTCTTGCAGTATCACAACAGAGTCTATGTACCGGTGGGGCCACTCCCGGGACTTATCTTGTCGCAGTGTCACAATAATCCTGCAGCGGGGCACTTTGGCCTTTTCAAGACGTTGCATCTCATGTCTTGGACTTTCTGGCAGCCCCAACTACGACATGACGTGCAGTCCTATCTCATGTCATGTGTGCAATGCCAGCAGGCCAAGTTGGCAACAGGGGCTCCCCCAGGACTGCTCCAGCCCTTGCTGACATCGGAGAGACCTTGGGGTGCCCTTTCAATAGACTTTTTGACAGATTTGCCTCCATCTTCGGGATTTGCCACAGTGTTCATGGTGGTTGACATGCTGATGAAGATGGAACATTTCTTTTCGTGTCATGGCTTACCCACAGTTTGCACCACCGCCCGCATGTTTATTCAGCACATCTTCCGGCTGCATGGACTACCTGATCGGGTTGTTTCGGACCGAGGGGCTCAATTTACAGCCCAATTCTGGAAAGGGCTGATGACGGCTTTGGAATTGAAAATCTGCCTGTCATCAGCACATCATCCGGAAACTGACAGCGGGACTGAGAAAGTCACCAGGATCCTGGAGCAATACCTGCGCTGCTTTGTGAACCAGCAACAAGACAACTGGTCAGACTACTCGGCTGTATCAGAATTTGCATTTAACAACTCGCAGCATACCTCCATGCAAACCACCCCTTTCCTAGCCAATGTGAGCTATCATCCTCGGTTCTTTCCCCTGATACAACTTGACTCACCGGTTCCGGATGTGAACAACTATCTGTTTGAGTTGCAGGCTGTTCACCAATTGGTGTGACGGTATCTGGAGGAAGCCAAAGAGGATTACAAACAAGTTGCGGACTGCTTTAGGCAGGCAACACTGCCATTGCCTGTGGGGCATTGGGTGTGGTTGTCCACTAGGCACCTTCCGTCAGACTGGCCGGTTAAGAAGTTCAACCACTGGTACTTTGGCCCATTCCCTGTGGAGGCGGTTGTCAATCCGGTCGCCTACCGCCTGACTTTGCCTCACTCGCTATGTGTGCATCCCATCTTTCATAGATTCCTCTTGGTTCCCAAATGGCCAGCCTGTCCACTCCACCAACCTGACCCTCTCCTTCCAGCACCACGCGATGGAGAGGGACCGCCTGAGTACGAGGTCGCCAGTATTTGGGACTCTTGGTGGCTGAAAGGGCGGTTCCAGCACCTCATCGAGTGGAAGGGTTATGGTCCAGAGGATTTCACATGGGAGAATGCAACTTCCATGTCCCTGTTTTGGTGGATGCCTTTCACACACAATTCCCATCACGGCCGCATCTGGACTGTCAGACTCGGGGGAAGGGCCCTGCGGTGAGAGATAGTTTTGTGGTTTGCCAGCAGCCGGTGCGGACAGCAGAGGAATCGGACAGTGAGGATGAAAGTCAGTCAGGGACTCTGGTGAGGACTTGGACGAGGGTCTTGCACTTGATGCAGGGATGAAGCTTTCAGAGTCTTGCAGCAGCAAAGCAGAGGACCCCGGGAAACCTGTTCCCAGTGCGCATGTGTGCAGAGCTGCTAGAAGGTGAGAGCAGCTGAAGCAGAAGGGGTGAACTGGGAGTAAGGCTGGGAGGTGATTGCCCCTCCCATAAGGGATAAAAGTCAGTCCTCAATGATGAAAAGCTTTGCAGGAAGCAAGGCAGTTCAGTAATTTCTGAGTCCATCTTGAAGCTCTGTACTCTGGTTGTTTTTTTCTGGGTTTTTGGGTTGGTTTATGTTAAGCCTTAATTGGACATCTGTTTGTTGGCAAGCATTCTACAGCACTGAGAAGCGTGCTCTTAGCTGAGGAACTGTATAATGAGTTTTGGCTGGGAATGCAAGTAATTCCCATCGACGCATTAAAATAGGTTTTACTTTTAAATTCAGTTTGTGTTTTACTAAATTTGACGAAGCCTGAGTCAGAACAAGTTGTTATCTGCATTGCATGATGACATCTCCCTTTTAAAAAAAATCTGACATTTTGTTGCTTTCATTCCCAAACTCTTATTTAAGAATGAGATTATTCCTTTTTTTTAAATAAGTTTTTTATTTTGTTTAAAATAGATGTAATTTCTTTCATTTAACAGTGTGTCGTCTGAGTACAAATATCTTGTGCAGTAACAGTTAAATTTTACAACCATATCCATTGCTTTGATATTAATTCTCTATTCTTACCTTATCTTATTGATATATATAATATTCCTATTAATATAACACTCCTTTTCTTAACATGTTTAATTCTATTAACATATTTTCTATATTTCACTAGTCTATTAGCTATTTCTAGATTTCATATTTTTTCTCTAGCCAATCTATTAAATAATTCCTGTATCTGGTAATATTCAGTTTGCGCCTTCTCTTTAATTGCAAGTGTTAATCTATTCATTTCTGCACATTCTAACATTTTTCTGAGTGAGATTATTCCTGAAATGGAAGCATTCTACTGAGAATGGAAACATACTGAGGCTCTTTTAATTAAATTCAGAATATTGTTCTTAGTTATATATATTTTTCTGAGCAAATATTTATTGGAGGAACTTTTGTGTCTGTTCAGTGTTTGCACTGTTTTGTTTTACAGATGTTTGATCATAATAAGCAAGGTGATGAAGCCAATGCTAGCTCAGCACAAGGTAAACCTCTTCTTCAGCAAGAAGAAACATGCAATATGAACTTCACCATCTGTTGAAATGAATTTTAGTGTTCTGAAAGATAAATGAAACTTGGGAAGTTAAGAATGTATTTCATTTTTTTCCCATTCAGATATGGAAAGGAAAGTTAATGAAGATTCCTTATGGCAGGACAGTAATAGTAGGTAAGTTTAGTTTCATATAGAATCAACAATCCTCAGAAGACTTGATGAAAAAAAATTATGAGTAAAAAGTATAGAAAAATAAGTTTCATTTATCAGAACCAGGAATGTTAAATCATTTTAGGTTAATCTGACAAGATGTTTATCATGTTTATGGTGATTTTAAAATCATTTCATAGCAAATAGATGAATTGATTTTATTAATTAATTTGGTTATATCCTTATTTTCTGATGGAGGGTAGTGTGGCTAGCAGATCAAAAGACTAAATATTTTGTTGCATTTTCTGTTTTGTTTTCTCAGTTAAAAGTTGTTGATTTAATCTGTTTCTGGTGAGCTAAGTAGCATAAAGGAGAATGGTTGCTCTTATTGATATAATTATTTTTGTTTGTAAGCATAACGGAAGGGGAATTATGAAGGATGAATTGTTCTGGAAATTTGCCTTTAGTAAAGTTTGTTTTCTCTAGAATACTCATCCTTACACTGGTATGAAATTTTGTTGGGTTGCATGTTAGAACTACTGTCTTGGTGATTGTGTCCTAGGAGATGTTGAATTATGGCTTAGATAATTCTTTTTGTCTTGGTCCCCCACTTCAAAGATATTTGGAAATTAGTGAATGGTTTAAAAAACATGGTAAAATGGTGACCTCTCTTACACACTTGTTTTATATGTGTATCCTGCCTGTGGATTCTTCTGTAATCATGTATGTCAAACAGGAGCTGTAACAGCAAGTGTAATCTGCTTGTTTTCCAGGCTTCTGGTTGTGTCAGTAAGTTCTTATCCTAACAATGCTTTTATACATTTTCTACTTTATTATATTATTCCAAATGCTTGCCTCATTCACCTATATTTCACATATCTTCATAGTTATTATACTTTAATACTTTTAACTGTCATATTTACATATTTCATCACATATGTTTATTACATCCATTCATAAAATCCAATTTAATACAATCATTCTATATAATTAGTTTCCACCTTAAATTACCAATTTTAAGTGCCACCTCTAAAGTTTATATATTCACTAATTATCTCCCCTTTTAATCCCAATGAAATTTAACCTTTATTACCTAAAAATTGAAATTAATAATCCTTCTAAAACTACATAGCAAATATAAATCAGATTCTGTATGGATTTTCCTTCTTAAATTCATAAAAATTATTTACAATTTCAGACTAAAGAAAACATATTAATCTATTCACTTAATCCTAAACTCTGATATTAATTCCATTCCAGCTCTCCTCCTATATCATTTGAATTATTTTTAATGCACATATTCCATTAATTATTCCATTCATCTTTATATCTTTAAAAAGGCCTGCTTTCCAGAACTAAAAAATGTCTACTCCTTTACAATCCCCCTCATATTTCATTTCAATTATTTCAATATATTTAGTAAACATCTTCCATTAATTATTACATTCACCTCTATAGATATAAGAAAAGAGCTTACCTTCCAGTTCAGTTCAGAGTATCAGTTCTATTTTCCATCTTAATAACCTATATATCCCTATTTCCTACAATATTCATAACTTTAAGTATATTTAAACTACCCCTCCTCAACTTGCAGAATCCCCTTTTAAGATATTAATTAGCCATTGTCTTTATGCTTTCTAATTAAACAATTCCCTTTCATTTTTTTTACAATTCCCATATTTCTTTGTTTCCAAATCCTGCTTCTTATCCTTTCTTTTCCCTTTCATTTTATTCTGCCTCTCCAGTTTTTATCCCCCTCCCTATTTATACCCTGTTTCTCCAACAATATGGCCTCCCCCAATAAGAAGTCCCAGCATGTTTTATAGGCATGAAGTGAAATTAAGCCCCTCCCCCCAAATTAAGGCCTATATTAAAACATGCGAAATGGGGGGAATGGTGGGGGGGCTTGCCATTAGGAAGTACTTTTGTTGCACACCCGGATATGGTGCTGCCTGCGTTGACCCCAATACGAAGTGCCCCACCAATGCCGAGGTCAACATCCAAGCCATCGCTGCCCGCCCGCCCGCTTGAAGATGCAAGGGGGAGGGAAATTAAGTCACCCCCAAAAAGATGGCCTAGCCATTTTTTCGGGGCTCAAAAAAAAAAAAGACCCGGCCTTATTATATGAGAAACACGGTGGCTTCCTTCCACCCTTCAATTTTCTGCTGTTTCTGTTGACCTTTTTTAATTTTGCAAATATTCCCTTTTTTATTTAACTTCTTATGTCTCATATTTTTATTTCCCACTCTTCTCCTCCCTCTTTTCAGAGTTTTTTGTTCCCAATGATAGTTAAAAATGGCCTCTTCTGTAGTCAGCTCCACCTCATCTTCCATCTTTTGTCTTTGTTGTCTGTGTTGTTAATATTCTGAGATCACGTTTTCCAATAATTTTAAAGTATAACCCAATGATTCACCTCGTTCTTGTAATATTTCTTTCATGGTTCTGAGATCCATTTTTAATTCCAGAAGAGATATCGCCATTTTACATGTTTTTGTCTAATAATTTAATCCAAATAGTGTCTATGAGGTTAGTTTCCAACAGTCAGCTTTTGTTTTATTCCTCTCAAATTTTTAGTTCATAACTAGTCCAAAACCAAGTCCAGCCAAAATCAACAATTAATTCCAGGACAGAATCTTCCTGCTTCTTTCTTTGTTTCAAAGTTTCAATTTTTCAAAGATCTTGTTACATTGTATCAATGTTCCTTAAGATTTTTTAGAAACAGAATCTTTTAGTAAAAAAACAAACAAATTAACCTTAACCATTAGATGGCACTCTTTATCATAACAAATATTCACCCCTTTTTAAACCACAGTCTTCCAAAAAAAAAATCAAACCCAATTGATATTGAGTTTTCTCTTTAACAATCACAAATTCAGCCTTATTAGTGCTTATATGGTAACAGAATATATTTATCCAAATTAGTTAAATGGTTTCTTCTTCCAGCTTCTACCTTTTCCGGTTCAAAGCCCCACCGCTGTCAAAAAACAATTCACACCTTTTTTTTCTCCTTTCTCTTCGCCGCTTTAAATCCTTTTTTAAAAAAATTCTTAAAAATTAATCCTGGTGTACCTTTCATTTAGTTATAGCATCCCGTTTCTCATATTGTCTGCTTCTTTCTCTCTCCTGCACAATCTTATTCCAGCTTACTCTTCCCCTTCAGAGTGGCCATTTTAGACCACCGCTTCAGAAATCTTCAGGAGGGAGCTTTGCCAAGCCAGGGAGGTGATTTGCGACCCCACTCTACCCGGCTGACAGTCTCCCCTTCTTCCACCGCCCCTATGAGGCGGCTTCTGCCCCAGATCTAGCCGATCAGGGCTCTCAGATGAAAAAGCACGGACCAAAGCCGTGGACAATCATGGTCAGCGGTCCGTCTTTGCGGAAGTCCCATCTGTTGCAATTTTAATGCAGGCAGCATTATCTTCATAGATGATTACAGCTTGATTTACCTTTATATTTAAATCCTGTAACAGCTGTACATACCTAGTTCAGACAAAGCAATAAATTCTGCCTCCGCATAGAAATGGTTACAGTTGTTTGCTTTCTGGACTTCCAACCAATTAAAGCCCTCTAAACAATATCACAATCCCAGAATTGGACTTTCTGGTTTTTACATCATTTGCATAATCACTATCAACATAGCATTTCAATTTTAATTCTCAGAGACCTGTATTTGAGGACCCAAATTCACAGTTCCCTTCAAATACCTGAGAATCCTTTTTACACCCATCCAATGCAATTGCGCTGATGCAGCAGTAAAGCGACTCAAAATGCTTACTGTGCAAGTTATGTATGATCTGGACCATTGTGACAGATATAAGAGGCTTCCTATTGCTGACCGATATCTCTTGATCACAGGCTTCATTATCGTCCTCACCCAAACTGTTATGAAAATCTGTACTCATAAGGTGTTGGAGCAGTATTACAATTTTTCATGTTATATCTCTCCAACAACTGTTCAATTTTTTTTGACTCAGAATATAACTGCCTTTCTCAGTTTTTTGTATCTCTACACTGAGATAATTTTTTATTTCTCCCAAATTCTTTAATTCAAATTTCTTCTCCAACTTATTAGCAAATTCATTTACCTTTGATACATCCTTTGTATCCACAAATCTACAAATGCTAATAGTTGACAATCCCCACCTTTTAACTTTCCAGTGTATATGCAACCATCAGCCTTGCAACTCTTGAACCCAAGACCTTTCGATGCCTTATCTAAACAAATATTCAAATTCCCTCAGCCCATAAATGGCCTTGTTCAATTTATACACCATGTTAGGCTTTTTACTTTCATGCCCTGGTGCTTGAACCATGTAAATTTCTTCCTCTAAGTCTGCATTGAGGAATGCAGTGATTAAGTCAAAATGCCAAATGTTATGGCCATGTGCCGCTGCCAACGCTTGTGCCAGCCTGATGCTTTCACTCTTTACAGTTGACACAAATATCTCATTATAGTGCACATTTTTCATTTGTGAAAACCCTTGTGCCATTAACCTTGCTTTATATTGTACCTCGTTATTGGACAGTTCTTTCTTCTTGTATACCCACTTGCATCCTACAGCTTTGCTATCCTGTGGCAAAGTCATAGAGGTGAACACTTCATGTTCTCCCATGGATTTCATTTTTTTGCCCATGGCTTCTTTCCTCTTTATTTGTTCAATTTTAGGTAATGCCAATACTTCCTTATAGTTCTTTGTCTCATACCATACATTACACACATTAAGTTTACTAGCAGAATACCTGTCAGGTGGAATCCCTTTGTTCCATCACTCTGACCTGTGTGGCATTGACTGCTCCTGTGCTTCAACCCTCTCTTGCTTCATATCTTTTTCATCTTCTCCCTGAACACTGACACCATCACTAAGTGAGTTACTGTCACTAAGTGGATCACCGTTACTAAGTGGATCACCATCACTAAGTGAATCATTCCAAAAATTTGAATCAATTCTGTTCCAATTTTGCTCTGCAAAGTTTGCAGACCTGAAAATTACTATTGTCTTGCTCCCATCGCTAAAGCGATAGCT